CCCGCACCGCCGATGCCCGTGCTGAGTCAGGGGCCTGGGGCACGGCTGCCACCCCTGCACCCCAGCACAGAGCCCTTCACCCCCAGGGACCCCCCTGCTCCCCTCCTGCACCCAACCCCCAGCTCGCTGGCTGCGGTGGCATCTGCTCCTCAAGGGCTCAGCTCCAACAGCCAGGTGACAGGCACATCCAGCGATTTGTCAGTCTAATTAAAGCCTTAACAGCCTAATCAAAGCCTTATTGTCAGTCCAGTTGTATTTATAGCCCCACTCGTCGCAGTGCGCTCCCCATACGGCTCCTGGTGTGGTTGCGGCCCCCGGGGTGCTGATGTTCCCTGGGGAGAAGGGGCTGGGGGAGCTGAGAGTCCTGCTCTGCACCCCTTTCCTCGCCTTACAGCAAGTCAGGCTCTCCCTTACTTCCAAATTTGCTGGTTGGGGGCCATTTCCCAGGCGGTGGAGGCTTGTTCTTGGCTCTCCCGGGTACCCCCAGGCCATTTTTTTCCCAGCTCCTGGAGCTGCTTCTTCCCTGAGAGCAGTGACTGGGGGGAGCACCAAGGCTCCGGTAGCCACCGGGCTGCCAGCGGCCGCACTGGCAAGTTTTTCTGTTTTCCTCCAACACCTTTCAAGCTCCGGCTTCCCGGTAACGCAAATTAATATTTCATGAGCACGGCGGGGTGAACTCGACACTTAAGGAAAGCAATGACCCAGCAGGAGACAGGCGCAGGTGTGCTCGCACACGGGCAGAGGCACACACACCTCACACAAGTGTGGGCATGGCCGGAACCCACCTGGTGAGACCGCTGGGCACGTGGGGAGGTCCAGTCCTGCTTCCCTCAGCTTCCCTCTCTCTTCCCTCCCCAGTGGTGGCCAGCGCGGAGGAGGCAGAGCCATGGCATCGCTGCTGTGCAACGCCCGTGAGTGCCCTGGTGGAGGGGAGGTGCGGGGCAGGGCATTGGGCCACCCGGATTTATGCCGGGGCAAATCTGGCCTGTGGGTTGAGCTCACCTTGCCACACTCG